AATTTCCTCACGTAAATGGTAGCAAATAAGTAGTAAAAGTTTGCCGAATGCCAGTTTCGTTCTAGTTGTAAAATAGTTTACAGTCTTTTAGGATATTAAATCGTTGGTGTTATGGAAAATGTCAACGTGTTTAATGCTAGCAGGAACGATTGATGCCTAAAGGTTGACTGTTGAATTGATTGCCTAAAGTAATAATTGATTATTGGGCGTTCAAAATGTCGCGAATAAATTCCAAATTTCGTTAAAAGCAAATACAAATCCAATGCATTTATATTCGACTCTCCATTTGGAGGAGTTCAATATTAATATACATATAAGTTCGGTATCTGCCAGCTGGTTCCGAATCATTCTGAAGGAAAGTTTTGAAAAACTTTCCATTACTGACAAACACTGGATAGAGGCAAGTAGAATAATAAGAACGGAGAATTACAGACATTTCGGTTCAGATTTGAAAGTTTTCGGAACGAGTTGCACAGAAGGGAAATCAACGAGCCGGCGAATTAAAACGAATTTAAATATAAATGGAGTTAATTGAAAAGAAAATCGCGATCGTCTGGCTTTATTGGCCCTTAAACCGGATTAGAGCCGACTCGGAACTAACTGTTGCCAAAATTCCAAAAATTTCTCAATATTGTAAACTCGTGTACTTCTCGGAAAGAAATGTTTCTTCAAAGATAAATTTCGCATTTTCTGGCTCAGACCCGGCTCACATTAGTGTTAAGCACTTCATGGCTGGAATATTAAACTTTACTTCCCTGCGGTATAAATTATACGTGATATATGGGTTTGGTGTTAAATTTACCGCAAACGCCATTGTTTACACTAGATTACATCTGATTCATATAAATCTAGTCTTGGAAATGAGGATTTCTCGAAAATGTTTTGACTACATGCGTGTGATTATCTAGAGCTTATGCGTCCAAACCAACGAAACAACAAAATAAGTCGAGAGGTGTAAAGCAGCAGATGATTTTATTGCAAGGCGGCGGCTCAAGAAAAATTACATTTTCGCTGAAGGTGCGATTTTTGAGCGTTTGTGTTCAGGCCCATTTCGATACGTCATAAAACCGAAGATAAATCAACATTGACGATAAGCACTTTCATAAATCACCTACGGGCTCAGAATGGAGCCCATGTTGTTTACAAAAAGCCACATTACAAAGGATAAAAGCCATGATTGTAGGTAATGAGAGTTGGCTCCAAATATATGTCCTAATTATATAGATGAGCCTTCTAGCGATGCTTTCAGATAGGCGGATCTTTTCCATGCGTTCCGATTCGCCTAAATATTCCAACAATTACTCACGGGAATGTGAAACTTTGCGATAGTTTAAATTTTCAATAGCTTTGCCGGTTGTTTGAAGCAGACAAATAGAGGGTGCGAAAAACGTTAATGTCCAGAATATGTCTTGTATGGTTCAGATTATATCTTATAAAGGGCTATTTTACTCTACCGTTAGCTTTGTCGATAAAATATATGGGCGACCCTTTGGTTTTCTGTGCTGAAAACGTTTCCATTTCCTATTCGTGGATTTAAAGCGATCGAATTTGTTTTGAAACGTGACGGGAATAATTCTGATAATTTATCGGCAGAATATGGAAAGTATTCATATTGGGCTCAGGAGTAGGTATAATGCGTTATTAGTAGTATCTGTTGAGTTCCATACGAACAAGAGAATGAAGGTGTTTTTCTTAATTTTTGGTGGCAGTTAAGGTCAATTTCATCCGGAGAAATGGTTGGAAACAACAGGAGCGTCACAAATCATTTTGCTGGCTCATGAAACATAAAACGACACAACGTCCAGTTATATTGGTGACATATATTTCATGTATCGAAACGCCTTTCTCTTGTAAATAAAGCGACGAACATGTATTCGATTTATCTCCTGATTGCGCGATTTATCGAGAGATCTCGGCGTCAAACCAGATTTATCTGCGCCAATTTTTTGACATAACGAGATCGTGATAGGACGACAAGGAACTGCTCGATCGAATCAATTTTTTCGGACAAAAACACCAGCATTTGTCGCACAGAAATTACCTTATTTTGCCACCCCAAATCCCCCGTTGAAAGACAGATTTTCTCTTAACTGGAACTGTGTGATAGCGCTTGTTTAAAGCAACTGCAACTTTCTTTGATCTTAAAAACTATTTTTTCTGTCAGGAGAAACTATCGAATAAAATGGGCAACGCTTAGAAATTTGCTACTTTGCCGGCTTAGGGCCCTGAAAGACGATCAGGTGCATCGGTTTCCAAAGTTTTTCTTTTTAAAGTTTCACCGGCAAATTGATTTACACGAGTCCCACCCTTGGGCCAACGCAACTGAATCATTGTCAATTGCTAAGGGAAAACTACTAAATATTAGAGTTTGGTAGGGAACTTTATTAATATTCACAATAGATAAACCGGGCGTTTGGCTTTCGAGGGTTTGAGAACGCTTTTTGCAGCAATACAAAGCCCCATTGTGCCCAACCATGTTTGGCTCTGGACTCCTGCTCTTTCACAGCGAATGTTAGTCTAAAGTGGCTTTGGATTGCGAATATTTTTTTTCTGGGAGCAAATAGTTGACTCCTAATATCTTTTCTTGAAGTTGATTTTAACTGTGTGTGTTCACCCTGTATTCTATGTAGGGTTTTATAACGCAAAAAAACGTCTGATGTCACTCATAAGCCAACTGAAAGGGTGGCGCGCGAAAACAAAACATCGGGGATGCATAAAACAAATGTTCCGGCATAATAAGAGGGAAAAAGGAAAACATGAAAAGGCTCGCAAAAGGCAAAAAAACGTTAAAGAGCGAACAGGGATAATAAGAGAATAAGCTATGTTGTTTATTCTAATGAGGCTGGCGTCAGGAGGGCAGTTGAGGGACAAAATCAGGCTTCTAATTTGCACTTGGAACACAGATAAGGGGGATTTACAAAATTAATTTTTCTTTGGGGACTGCTCTCGACGAAATTTGAATATGCCCTTTGAATTCGCTCTTATGGGCGCTGAACTCAATACTTTCACGAGATATCGTCATCACGGTAAATGGCTTTGGTAAATAGCGAGCCGTTTTACCTGTTTAGGGGCCCAGTGTTGAGGGTAAATATCCAAAAAAAAGTGGAATGCAACCGATGAAACAAGTAAATTAATTTGCATTTCACGGGCTGAAATATTGATGACAAAAATGTTTGTTCTATTTGGAAATTAATTTCATTCAAAGTTCGTTTTCTTGCACATTGACCTGCTGGTTTCCTGCAATAATTGGCTAAGGCCTAAGTAAATAAATCAGGTTATATTTAGTAGGGCATTCTAAATTCATGCAAACACCCACTTCGGAACTTTTATTTCAAAAAAATATAAAAGCCCCCGAAGAATACATATCAGATTTTGATGGAAAAGGGGAGCGAAACAAATTCCCGACAAGAAGGAAAAGTTAGATTTAATAAGGCTGTAAAGTTTTATTTATTCAACAGGGAAGAGCTTTGAAATTTCGTGCATTCGTGCGTTAGAATAAACATATTTTTTTAATACTATCTACTTTCACATACCAAATGTTTCACTTTCAATTCAAAGTGGCTGGTTCTAAGGAATGGATTTTACTGATTTTGAAACAAAACTTCCGAATTTTTTCGGCCTTCAGCTGTAAGCAATCCTGATTTATTTTCCTGACTGCGTGTACTTGTTATGATATTCTTCCGGGGTCTTACTCAAAGTGTGAAGTAAAAATTTTGAACATTGTTTATTTCATATAGCGTTTCGGCGAGACAACAGCGCCATCATCAGATTTAAAATTCAACACAAACCCATAATTGGGAAACATTAGAATCTTTCAGAAAGAGAATCTTTTTCTCTCTTTCTGAGAGAGAAAAAGAATCGAATGTTTCCCAATTATGGGTTTGTGTTGAATTTTAAATCTGATGATGGCGCTGTTGTCTCGCCGAAACGTTATATGACATAAACGAAATGAAAATAAAAATGAAAATTTGCCAATAGTCAAATTTAAGGTTTCAAGAAGGCATAGAACTAAAAGAACGTTGATTTTTACCAATCATGAGTTTGTGTAACTTTTAAATCTGATGATTGCGCTGTTGTCTCGCCGAAACGTAATGAAATAAACGATATTCAAATGACACGCAGTCAGGAAAATAAATCAGAATTACTTAATAATGTTGAGTTTAAATAGTATTCTTTTTCTACTTTTGTACTTAGTAATTTTTACTTCACACTTTGACTGAGACCCAGGAAGGATAGGAATTTGATAACAATTGCACGCAGTAAGGAAAATAAATAAATAAAGAAACAAAGCTGTTAGCAATGACCGCGAATCTCTGCTGAATTTTCCAACCACTTCAAATCGATGGGTATTGAAAAATATCAATTTAGGTGCCAAGGAAATTGGAGCCTTTATTTTCTTAAACCATTACAAGCGTCTTGGAAAAAACAACATAAAAAATTCCTGTGAATAAGCATCACGTGAATATTTTCAACCCTCTTCCTTCATTTTGCTTTGCCACAATATTAATGTATTATTCATTTTTTCTCGCACTTGCAAATGAGCAAACAACAAGGGCTGGAAGTTGAATCTGCAGTTTAGTCACCGATGTATTTTGTTGAACATTTGTAATGACGCCGAGCCTCAATGGCAAGCACCAGAGTGAACTAAGGACTTAGGAGGGAAATTGAAGTAAACCAGAAAATCAACCGGGAGTTTCTAGGTGAAATCCATCTATAATAGCTAAAATTGCCTCTAGGTTTATGTGCCCCGTTAACTCGATTATTCGACAAGGTCTTGGCTCCTTTTTTTGGAACGTTCAATTAGCTCTGGAATGTAATTACTTGAACAAGTGGTGCGGAATTGTAATTTCCATTTATCCTCAAGAAAAATAGAAGTCTTCGACAATTCTGGCGCAAAAGCGGTTAGAGAATTAATTGCAAAATTCTTTTATTGTGCAATTATTTTTGGGGGTTTTCGGAAAATTATGATGTAGAGTTTTAATTTATTGATGTTTTTCCAGATATCTGGGCCCAACAAAAATTTGAGCGGCAGCCGAGCTACACTGAGGTGAATCCTGGACAAGATGCCTACTTACAGTGTAAAGTGCTCAACAAGAAAGGATCGTGTTCATGGCAAAAGGACAATAAGGTAATTTCATTGGCGACCAAATGCGACAAAAAGCCTTCGTGTTACTAAATTCTAATAAATCTATTTCCTTTTAAAACACCTACAAAGTACATCAACTAAAAGCTCTGATCGACGCCCTGAAGCCGAACGAAATGAGCTGTATTGAAATAATGGATTTAAAGCCGATAGCTTCCGAATTATTGTTTTCGCATAATAATACTCCAGTGTGGAAATCTGAAAAAGTTTCTCGCTTTCGGAATTTTCACGGTCCAATAAATCCATCGCAATCTGGAAAACTTTTACATTTACGTCACCGAGTTTCTTCGTTTCAATTCCGAATCGCTTTTTAATCGGTTAAGTGCAATGAATCGACCTAATATTTGTTTTCTTTGCCGAACTCAAATTCATTACGGAATAAGGTGTTATTTTAATTAGTGCGATTTGAAAACATTCAACAATCTAAGTCGCGTCGACTTATTTCTTTGGGGGCGAAAGTCGCGCTTCCACGAAACAAAGCCTTTAATGATTTCGAAGAGCGCATAACAGGTGCTGGCAAATTATTCCCAACTGAATAATTCGCGAATGGAAATTGAGATTTTGAGGAAAATTATTTTCAAATATTTTGTACTGATGTAGCAATTATATTGATTGTAAGGATGATGAAGAAATGATTTAAAAGAGCCGTGGATTGCGCACAATTTCCCTCAAAAATCCGTTATGTCTTTCTGATCTGTAAATTTTCATGTGCAAATATTTTTCTCTTTTCCTACGTTTCTTCGCTGTGCAAGGATTTTGCAAAATCTCGCTTATTTCCTCGTTTAGGACCATAGAAAGGCCAAGGAAGACATCATGATTGAATATGCAAAATAGGTCCAAGATAAGGCCAATAATTGATGTACATTATAATGAATTGAATATTTTACACACATGCAATATCGGCAAAAACTTATCTTCGGAGGAAATATGGTAATCGGGCTTTGAGAGTTTTCTTTATTAAATTAGGGCCGAAACATCCACTGGCATGTTTGTCTAGTCCTCATACATAATCATGAGTATTTATCTTTTGAAATACGGAACTTGGAACTTATCTAGGGGTTTCATGTAGCTTCCGTCGCTTTATTGATAGCTTCGTTTCGTAACCGAAGCTTTTTTACCGGGACGTGGCTGCTTTGTTCATTTTGAACCTTATTTTCAGTATCTTGATTTTAACTTGCATCTGTTTTTTAACTGTTCTTCCAACTAGATCAATTATAACTTGCGATACTTGAGTTGCATTCGCTTATTTCTTCTACGCCGTCCTTTTCATGTAAAGTTTTTGTGGATAAATTCAATCAAGTTTGGTTAATTTGGGTCAGTTTTAAAACAGTCTGAGTTAAATTACCGATTAAATTGCCTGAAAAATGACCCTGAAGATAAGTAAAAGACGGATAAATAAAGTAATACAAGCGCGCTCAAGAAACAATACAGAGCTACTTTTTTTTCTTCTAGAAAATAACAATCTGAAAATGGCACGCATAATATGAAGATTTAAATCGCGCCATCCCCTTGGAGTTACTCAACTGATTGTGCCTTGAATTAACAGGCAAAAGAGAAAAGGGACAGTTGACTTGATCAACCGAGGAGTTCAGATCTATCGACCGGAAAAATAAACGGCTGTTTTATAGCCGGTCGCGTTTTATGATTTTCCATGACCACTCGCTTTGATGTAGCCTTTTTTGCAGCGCAAAAACACGCTTTTCCTGTCAATTTTAGAGAGATACGCTTTGCAACTTGGCCATAAATGATCATTAAGCCACCCGTGCTTTGGCCGATAGCGTTCCAATGCGCCATTATAGAGGGACAGAAATCAGTTTTTCCTTGAAGAAATCGCAATGTCGTCGAATTATTGGCATTAAACGTGGATTAGGAACTAATTCAAAATGAAATTTTCGTAATCAATAATTATTCCTAATCTGCGAAAAATCATTCGGCAGCATTTCCTAAGTTATCTATAATTGGCCATTAAATGCGCTATTAAGAGGGATTAAATCGGCATTTCAACTTGGAAGTCCACATTAACCTGCCTACTAAGAGCGCGCCGGTAAAAACTCCCCTGTTTTGGCAAAATTATGACTTTGTTTTCACGATTTTAGGAGCCTTTTATGTGTTCAAAAGACTCCACTAGCATAATAGTGGCGGTCTAATAGAACCATTCTGCTGTTGATCTTACAGGAGACTTGCAGCTAATAAACATTCGTCTCATTAAACTGAACTAACAAATAAATTCTTATTGACCGAAATTTTGGATAAATCTCCACTAAAATTGTTTACTGCGAGAGCTAAATGTAGTCGGTTTTATGGCCCGTTTTCTGCAAAAGTGATAAATTTGAGTAATTGCGCCCTATAAAAATTTCAGTTGTTTTGGTGCAAGCCAATGGGGTTTACTCTGCTGAATATCATTGAAGCATATTTTTGAAGATGCACATAAAGGACAATTGAATTCGATTTTGTCCTGATGGGCTAAAATCGCTTAACGCCTTTAAGGTGAAGTTTGCTTCGGGTATTTTTCCCAAATGTAATTTCATTGATTGCTGGATTATTGAGTGTTGCTTTGCACACATGAACGTGCAGTTTTATGAAAAATAGGTAAAGCATCGAACTGACACCAAATCGAGCGTAGGTTAAAAATGAAAGCCGTAATTAATGTGGGTTAAAATAGTGAAAAAATGCAAAGGGCTGCTAAGAAAACATGTCACGTCTTGAGCGGGGGTCATAAATCATCCAAAACAGCCAACCTGAGAGCATAACCCAAGTGAAACAATAGCATTTCTCATTCGTGTAATACAAGTGTAATTAGTCTCAAGAAACTTGCCACATGTTGCAACCGGCAAAATGTATTTTAAACGGCATAATGTAACCCCGAATTAAATCTCATTTGCAAGCATAAATGAAAAATAATTGCGGAAGGTTTATAACAGATAAAGTGCCGGGTTGCTAAATTAATTATACTGATCCGAAAGTCGGCTCAGTTTTAATTAGGGTATTATTTTGGGTGTCTTAAATCCTATACGAAAAATTCCGACAGAAGAAGGGTTTAGGAACATGAGAAGAACATAAGCAAGCAAACGGAAGAAGTTCTAAAGAAGAAGAACCAATCTTGTGGTGTAATTATGTATGGAGTGTAAGTCTGGGATGCCAGCACAGGAAGCAGAAGAAGAATCTTGGCCACAGGAAGAATCATAAACTAAAAAATCACCCAGAAAATCGGCATAGGATAGGATATAATGGATGAGGTCGATGGGAGACAGTTAGTAAAGCACACACAAGAAAAATACTAGATAGTGTATAAGAAAAGTGTGCAACCTAGAGACAGTCGTAGAAATCCAGACATGTATATATAAATCATAGTTGCTTACGAGGGCCAAAAACCGGGCAGATTTTGCTTCGATTTAGTGGCAAATCTAATAGAAAACATAAATGATTTTTCAGAAAAGCTTCACTTTCGTAGTAATGCGAATCAAAACCCGCAGGCTCACATGCTTCTTATCGCATTTACTTAGTCTCCCATCTTCGCATATCGTAAACATTTGTTATTCCGTCAAAAGGAGGCTGCAATGATAATGCCCAACATTAGTTCCCGTGGAGAAATATGGGCGCTCCGACCGATTGCCCTTTTGTTTTACCAAATGAATATTGAGGAAAGCGGCGAGATTTCAGAATCGGCTAATCAGAAAAGTGGCAGTTTTGTGGCTTCGAAACCGCACGTAGGAAGTGAATTAATTCGGTATTTGCCTCTAAAAGCAAAATAATTTCACTTAAATTTCAAATTTACTTTTGACTCAATAAAAATTCCAGCACACAATTTCCATATCCTCCTAGAGTCCTATGAGTATTATTTCATTGGATTTTTTCAATAATAATTTATTGATACAGGCCAATATAAATCATTTTGCTGCAAACAAATATTTGAACAATCAGCATTAACGCCATATTTGGACATGAAATGCGGTATTTGATCAAATTTAACGTGCGTAAAATGTATATGTTAATTAAATTTGGTAAATTGTTTTTAAGCCCTTAATTAAAATGTCTATGTGGTTTGGCGATATGCAAACTAGGTTCGGATATATTAGTTTTTATTTGCTAAATTATTCTCATTGGGATTTCGAATTGGTTTTTTTCGATAAAAAGGAAATCAATTAATAAAAGCACTAGTTGATTTGCAGCTAAATAATTAAGCAATAAACGTGTGCCCAACAAGTTGTTTGAGTGCTAATGCAACAATTTACTTCGCATTTTCAGAATAGCATATACGCCACATCCTCTTCAGTATTTACGCTCTTTTTGGGGTGATGGATGATCTGGAGTTAAAATGGCAATTTTTTTAACTGTGGACTCATTAATTATGCCTAAGCAGTCGAGTCCTGACTGATTATTATAGTTTGCTTTTTTCGAATTTATTTTGACACTTTTGCTCTTCAGGTTATAACTACATGAACTATTTTCCATGTTTATGCCTGATAATTCGAAATATTTGATTGCTGATAATGCATCTTCGGTTTGCTCCCGAAGATCGCTGTATTATGCCGGAAGATATGGAGCAAACAATCTTAAATCAGCCGCTATGCTTTGTGTATCTGATGTTCGGAGCGCTTGATGTTATTGTTTGCTCTTTAGTTCCTGCACTAACTTTATAACCATTTCCACTACAAAGCGTTGCAATTATGTCGGAACTGTTAACATTTACAAATTTTACTAGACCATTTCAATCAAGTGTTCGGTAAACAGTCTGCCGATCTTTACCGGGTGTTGTGCATAAATGAACAGTTTACAATATTAGCAATTAAATGAAACAATTAAACGAGGAAGTTAAGTCGAAGTTTCTCCTAACGATTTATAATAACCCAGGTGTCAGGTCTCCCTTCATGCAAGATAATTTACAGCCTCAGCATAGCTCGGGAAATAAATTACATTTTTACTTTTTAATTATTATTCTCTTTGTGCTAGCAGATAATAAATTGTACACCCTAGACTTGTATGGC